TACGTATGACAGCTACGTATGACTTCATTTATTTTCTGGTGCTTTCACTTCCAGAGACAGTTGTAAGCACTGTGTAACTGCCTCGAGGAAGCTTGACCATTTTAACCCAACGTGGTACGATCATCCCCCGTTGCGCGGAGTGAGGTTTCTCGACCCCGCACAACATGATCTACTCGACCACCATTATGGTTACCGCCAAAAAAAAACCCGAGGTAAAAAAAAAAAAACGGTAACCTGGTTGCCGAGTTCACGAAGTGAATTGGCTTGTTTTACAACGTCGTTGCCAAGCGACGAAAACCCAATCCCGATGGCAAACACCGAGTGGGGGCTTGTGGGGGGGGGGAGGGTTCTGGTGCGTGAATTTGTTTGGAGTATTTTTGCGATTAAACATCATCGACGGCGGCGAACATGTGTCCTTGTGTCAAGCACGCTGCAGTGTCCATGTTTCTAAACTCTTGTCACAGGTTCTTCTAGTTTTTGCTTTTTGTCTTTTGGTTATTTGGCTGTGGGGGGCTGCTTCCGTTTTGTGCCGAGCTCTGGTTGTGTCTATTGTAGAAGAAGGAACGATTCTCCATCTCGACCGTCTAGATTGAGGCTATGCGCAGTTATAATACTCAATGATGAAGGCAATGGACAAAATGAATACTTGTAGCATCTCCCATTTCTGCTAATTTTCTATCGTCTCGCTGCGCTTGGGGGGAACACAACGACCAGGTGGAGGCGACACAGATCATGCACATCCGCGACAACATCGTCCGGATGTACGCCATGATGACGGGGCAGACCCAGGAGCAGATCACCATTGTGAGCAAAACAGATTTGCGATTAACGCACCAGAAACACGCAGGAAACAATAGTCGCCACTTGTTCGAGACTTTTGACTCGTTTCTTCAAGCTCTTCTTAGGGATTTTTTTTTTTTTTTTTGAGTGCTTGTGCACTCGATGTGGCACGTGCATGGCTTGATTGACTCCTCCCCTCTCGAAATTTGCCCCTCGCAAGACTGAGCTTGTGTCCTCACTTCTTGTGTCGAGAGCTCATATTTTCGGGATCTGTGAAGACATCAACCGCTCTGCCTGTGTTTACGGGGACCACGTTGCCCTAAAATGGGTTTTACATAACACGCATATTGAATTTTAAAGGGGACGTGTTTTGGACGGGTTGAGGCCGGGGCTTTTTGTAACCGTTGCCCGTTCAGGCCGTGTAGCACGCTGTCGCTTTTGGCAGCAGAGAACGTGGATACACAAGCTAACGTCTCAATGTATAGGCTGACAAAGCGCTGTCTCCCGTAGTTTGATACTTGTACTGACACGTTGTCACTTTCGAGAGATCCCGCGGAGAACGTGCGACGGTAGTATTTGACGATTTTCTTTCACCAAGGGGGGCGTGATTTTGAGGCCGCGGAATAGAGAACAGGGCTCCACCTCCAAACCTGTTCAAGCGTGTGCGTATGAATGTTAGTTGGGAAAATCGTGCACCGGTGTCATGGCCGCGGGTCATGCTGTGACATGTTGTTCGCCACTACGTTATGACTGTGTTGTTGTGGTCACCCACCTCAAGCACCGATTGACCACCGCCCCCCCCCCCCCCCCCCCCCCCCCCTTTTTTTCATCTGATTGTTGAGATTTTTGGGCCCCACCCCCCCCCCCCCCCCCCCCCTCCCCCCCAAAATTTTTTTTTCCACAAAACCCCCCCCCAAACAACCCCCTTTAAAAAAAAAAAAAAACCCCCCAAAAAAAAAAAAAAAAAGGGGGGGCTTTAAAAAACCCCTTTTTTTCCCCCTTTTTTTTTAAAAAACAAAAAAGGGGGGGTTTTTTCCCCCCCCCCAATTTTTTCTTTTTTGGGGGGGCCCCCCCCCCTCCCTAAGGTCCAACCGGCCAAAAACCAAAACGGGGGGCAAAAAAAATTTTTTTCTGGAAAAAATTTTTTTTTTTAAAAATATTTTTTTTTTGT